CAAGTCGTCACGGCGGGGTATTGGGAAAAGTTTTCAATTAGCAATAATCGCGCCTCGGATAAACCTCATTGGCTACGATACTGCCACTGCGCAAAGCTAAAAAGCAACGCCCCCTAGTCATTACCCCCAATAGGCAAGGTTCCTATTTCAGAAATGCGAGTTTGGGTCTCATAGAAAAACCATCAGTTATTATTTGATTGAAAATTATACAACCGTATAAAGATCCCTCGAAATGCATAAGCTATTTCTAAGGATTTTATTTCTTGATTTCACTTAACTAAGTTTTGATGGAGGATGAAGCAAAGCATTATGGGAGGGAACATGCTAATAGCTTCATTCATAGAGTGAATTGGGGCCGATGAAAAATGGGCCGTGTCAGCGTGTGTTAACTTGGCTACCGATTCACTGCGTACTATCATCTCCAAAATAGTTTTTTTTCCCCCATAAATTGGAAGAAACTACTTATAAAATAAAATTCACCATTTTAACTATTTTTGAGTATACAGTTCAGTAGCATTAAGTACGTTTATTCTTTGCAACTATTTCTCCACTTTTCACAAACTTTTCCATCACCCCAAATTGAAACTCTGTACCCATTAAACACTAACTCCCCTACCCATTCCTTCCTCTCTCAGCCCCTGGCAACTTCTACTTTCTGTCTCTACAAATTTGATTCTTCTAAGTATCTCATATAGGCAGAACCATACAATATTTTATTTATTTATTTATTTATTTATTTATTTATTTTAAAGATTTTATTTATTTGTTAGAGAGAGAGCGCGTGGGAGCACAGGCAGACAGAGTGGCAGGCAGAGGCAGAGGGAGAAGCAGGCTCCCTGCCGAGCAAGGAGCCCGATGTGGACTCGATCCCAGGACTCTGGGATCATGACCTGAGCCAAAGGCAGCTGCTTAACCAACCGAGCCACCCAGGCGTCCCAATATTTTACTTTTTGTGTCTGGCTTTTTTTTTTTTTTTTTTTTAAGAATTTATTTATTTATTTATTTGAGATAGAGAGCGCCCACGAGAGAGCACAAGACAGGGGCTGGGAGGGGGGCGAGGGAGAGGGAAAAGCAGGCTCCTAGCTAAGTAGAGAGCCGCTTATGGAGCTCTATCCCAGAGCCGAAGGCAGACACTTAACCAACTGAGCAACCCAGGTGCCCCTGACTATTTTTTTTTTAAGTTTACTTTTTTAAAAGTTTACTTACTTAAGTTTACTTTTTAAGTTTACTTACTTTTTTTAAGTTTATTTAAGTAATCTCTACACCCAGCGTGGGGTTTGAACTCACCACCATAGATCAAAAGTTGCATGTTCTTCCCACGGAGCCAGACAGACGCCTGTCTGGCTTATTTCATAGGATAATGTTTTAAGGTCTATCCATGTTGTAGTATATATCAGAATTTCATTCCTCTTTACGTCTGATTAGTATTCCATTGTTTGGAATTTTATTACCCATTCATTATTCTATGAATCTGCATTGCTTCCACTTTTTGGCATTGTGAATAATCCTCCTACAAACAGAGGCATACTAGTATCTGTTTGAGTCCTTGTTTTCAACTCTTTTCTGTGTATAGTTGGAAGTGGAAATTCTGGGTCATATGGTAATTTTGGGGGGGTTAATTCTTTTTTAATACCTAAAGGTTTTTGTTTTTTTTTTAAGATTTTTATTTATTTATTTGTCAGAGAGAGAGTGCGTGCACAAGCAGGTAGAGTGGCAGGCAGAGGCAAAGAGAGAAGCGGGCTCCCCGCTGAGCAAGGAGCCCAATGCAGGACTCGATTCCAGGACCCTAGGATTATGACCTGAGCTAAAGGCAGTGGCTTAACCTACTGAGTCCCTGAGGCGTCCCTAATGACAAAAGGTTTTTTGTTGGACACCTTAATTCAGAGAGAAGAGGATGAAGAAGGCTATTTTTATAGAAATGTTCACAGTTTAGGGGCACCTGGGTGGCTCAGTGGGTTAAGCCTCTGCCTTAGGCTCAGGTCATGATCTCAGGGTCCTGGAATAGAGCCCCCAAATTGGGCTCTCTGCTCAGCGGGGAGCCTGCTTCCTCCTCTCTCTCTCTCTCTGCCTGCCTCTCTGCATACTGGTGATCTCTCTCTCTGTCAAATAAATAAATAAAATCTTAAAAAAAAAAAAGAAAGAAATGTTCACAGTTTACAAAGTTTGAAGTAATTTTCGCTCCCACTGCCTGTTTTCTTTGGTGAGTGGAAAGCTGTCAGAAACTTATATCTGAACTTCTTTCTTCCCTGAACTATATTCTCCAACATACTTTTACTTTTTGCTACCCATTAAGATGTAAAAAGCAGTCTCCAAGAAAGTGACGTTTTTCCTAACATTTTATTGTATTTTAAAAATTTTTATTTCTTTACAAAAATGTTATTTCTTTGTGAGAAAGATTGAGAGCATGAGGAGGGGAGGGGCAGAGGGCGAGGGAGAAGCAGACTCCCCGCTGAGCAGAGAGCCTGACACAAAGACTTAGGAACCTGAGATCATGACCCCAGCAGAAGGCAGATGCTTAACTGACTGAGCCACCCAGGTGCTCCCCATCATTTTATTATAAAAAATTTCAGGGGTGCCTGGTGGCTCAGTGGATTAAAGCCTCTGCCTTCAGCTCAGGTAATGATCCCAGGGTTCTAGGATCAAGTCCCACATTGGGCTCTCTGCTCAGTGGGGAGTCTGCTTTCCTTCCCCCCCCCCTCTCTCTCACTGCCTGCCTCTCTGCCTACTTGTGATCTCTGTCAAACAAATAAATAAAATAAAATAAAAATTTTTTTCGGGGCACCTGGGTGGCTCAGTGGTTTAAAGCCTCTGTCTTTGGCTCAGATCATGATCCCAGGGTCCTAGGATCAAGCCCCCCATAGAGTTCTCTGCTCAGCAGGGAGTCTGCTTCCACCTCTCTCTCTCTCTTTGCCTACTTGTGATCTCTGCCTGTCAAATAAATAAATAAAATCTTAAAAAAATTTTTTTTTTCAAACATGAGAGGTTCCTGGTGGGCCCAGTCGCTAGAGCATGAGACTCTTGACCTTGGGGTTTTAAGTTTGAGCCCCACTTTGGATGTAGAGGTCACTTAAAAATTAAATCTTTTTTTTTTTTTTTTAAGTAGGCACCATGCCCAGCATGTAGCCCAACACAGGACTTGAACTTACAACCCTGAGATCAAGAAACTGAGCTGAGATCAAGCGTTGGGTGCTTAACCACCTCTAAAAATAAAATCTTAAAAAAAAAAATTTCAAACCTGAAATGTTCAGAGTGTTGTTTCAGTGAACACAGTCATCACCTAGATGCAAAAATGACATTTTTAAAAGTCCTGTTTGATGGCGATGTGTAGTTAATTTTTTTTTCATAAGGTAAGAAAAATTAGCAGGGGTGGGGGGGAGATTAACAACTTGATTAATTTTAGATTATTTTACTTTGATCCAATCAAAGACTTAGTCATTAAATTCCTGGTGTGGTAAAATTGTGTGTTTCACCAGCTGCCTTGGGTGACTTCATTCTCCACGGATGACTTTCCAGCACTAAGAAAAATTGAAAAGTCAGCTAATTTATCTCTGGAACATGAGCATCTTTGGGGCCTAAAAGCACAATCGCCCTGCATCAGGCAGTCTCGCAATAAATGATGCTCATTCCACTTGGCAAAGTGAGAAAACAATATGGGTTGGAAATTTTTCATAATAAAATGTGGCTGGGGGAATGCCAGTGTTTTGCCATTTCAATAGGTTTTGGTCAAATACCGAGAAATGCAGAAAATGTTGCTGATTACAATTTTTTTGACTTAGTAAACATTTCCAGTCTATATTTTGGGCCTTTCTTTCAGCCAATGTGGTCAGGTTAACTAGGGCACAAAAGGCTGTCATGTCAGGTGATTATCCCAGCAGGGTGACCTATCTGAGCTGTTGCTGGAGGTCCTACCCTCAAACACTAACCTGGGTGACTTTACCAATATTTACCTCCACACATTCAGTGAGAGGATCAGGAGTCAAACTTTGACTTCAACTTCTAGAATACTCTTCTGGGCTTCAGTTTATCTTAAAATGGGTGAAGTTGTTCCTTGGGTGATCTTCAAGGTCCAGGTTAGCTGGCCTTTGATTATGTTCTCAACAGAAATTGATAACTTATTTAGGTGAGGCTAGAGAACAAAGGTTCTCTTTGGTTACATATTAGAAACAACTGGGAACTTTGTAAACTGGTTGATGCCCAGGCATCTCCCCAGACCAATTAAATCAGAATATCTGTAAGTGAGACCTAGGCATTGTGTTGGTTAATTTAATAAAAACAAAGAAGGAGAAATAAAATTGGAGAAGCCAAGTGGGCAAACACACTATTCCCTGTATATTATGTGTGGAGTTAGTTGTTCATATAAACTCCAAAAACATCAGTTTTTCAGATATTTGTTCACAAACGGCTGCAAGGTGGAAACTTGATTTCCTCATGGTGAGTGCAAAGGATCATAATCACTGAAGTTGAGTATGAGTCTAGTCTAGATCCATTATTAAAGTTTCTATTTTTTTTAAGATTTTATTTATTTATTTATTTGAGAGAGAGAATGAGACAGCAAGAGAGGGAACACAAGCAGGGAGAGTGGGAGAGGGAAAAGCAGGCTTCCGGCTAAGCAGGGAGCCCCATGCGGGGCTGGATTCCAGGATCTGGGATCATGACCTGAGACAAAGGCAGAAACTTAAGGATTGAGCCACCCAGGCGCCCGTAAAGCTTCTATCTTAAGAATAAATTCCTAACTTAGTGCTGTTTGGATGTATTATTTTGCACTTAGCACTCCGGTGTGGAAACTCGAGCCATTTCTATCAAAGGGACACTGTTATTTTAGAAGACCGCGGCCCATCTCCAACCAAGGTTCAAAACCTCTGGCCCTGAAACGCAGACAGGTGGCGCTACTAGACAATCTGGGCCTCTTAACTGTGAAGCCCAGAGGATTGTGGGACTTGTAGTTTTTATGAAGCATTTCCTCTTCATGAACTACATTTCCCCAAATGCAAAAGTAGCCAGTCAGTTGCATAGTCAGTCGTAAAGTGTCGTTTAAGCTGTGAAAGGTGAGTGTGTTCTGTGTGAGCTTCGGGTTTCTTGAAGGGGTTTGTTGTAAGGGGTGGTATTAACTCTTTGTCCTTTGGTGGAACCTGGCAGGGAGCTGCGGTTCTAATAGAGCGTGTTTTCAGAGGGGTTTCCCCAGCCCTTTGGTCTCAGGAATCCAGACCAGATTTGTTTAGCCGTTCACGTGTTGCTGTGGAATGTCTAGAGAAATCAGGGTCCTGAACCTGGATCTGAAAAGCCAGGCATAAGATAATGTTTACATACGGGGTGCGATCACTAGAGAATTTCTGTATTATGTTAAATAATATGTTAAAACCTTGTTTTTACAGCTAGAAAGTTGGGGTAAAATGTCGTGCCAGACCTCACTATTCTGCTGTGTCCCACTAGCGAGTGGTGTTTGCGATTGAGGGTAAACTAATAGAATATGGGAGAGAGAGAATAAAAGATGTGCATGTGCTTAGTTACATTAATAAATAAAAAGCCATAAAAAGCTAAGTCTGAAATGTCTGAGCTATGACTTCAACACCTAGCAAACTAGAATTCAGGTGCACTCTTTGTTATTACTATTTTTTAACAGAGAGGGGCAGCGAGAGGAGGAACACAGCAGGAGGAGTGGGAGAGGGAAAGCAGGCTTCCTGCTGAGCAGGGAGCGGAGGTGGGGCTCGATCCCATGACCTTGAGATCATGACTGGAGTGGAAGGCAGACGCCCAACGACTGAGCCACCCAGGCACCCCTGAAATGTGCTCTTTAGTTTATGAAGAAATACTTATTTAGAAAATGGGAAGTAGGTTTATGGAACACACGGTCTCCCAAGGGATGTTAGTAACTAAAATTACAAAGGTAGTCCTCCAATGGAGACTCTTTAGATGTAGTCTAGATGGAATAACAATGAGCTATTATGGGATTTAAAAAATATATTGGGAGTAGGCCATTAATATTTTGAAATCTATAAGAAATTTTTTAAAAAAGATTTTTATCTACTTGACAAAGACGGTAAGCGAGAGAGAAAGAGAGAGAGAGCACATGAGCAGGGGCAGAGGGAGAGGGAGAAACGGATTCCCCTGCTAAGCAGTGAGTCCAACACACAGCTCCATCCCAGGACGCTGGGATCATGATCTGAGCCAAAGGCAGATGCTTAACTGAGGCACTAAGGAACCCCTTATAAGAAATTTATTTCTAAACCGTTTTATTTATTTATTTATTTATTTATTTATTTATTTATTTGACAGAGATCACAAGTAGGCAGAGAGACAGGCAGAGACGGCGGGGGGTGGGGTGGGTGGGCAGGGGGAGCAGGCTTCTTGCTGAGTAGAGAGCCTGTATGTGGGGTTCGATCCCCAGGACCCTAGGATCGTGACCTGAGCTGAAGGCAGAGTCTTTAACCCACTTAGCCACCCAGGTGCCCCGAAATACTAAGGTTCTGATACATTCTTCCTTCTAGTCCCTGGCAACTACTAATTTACTTACTGTATCTATATATTTGTGTATTTTGGACAAGTTATATAAATGGAATAGTATGGTATTTGTCCTTTTTGGCTGACTTCTTACACTTAGCATAATGTTTTTAATGTTTATCCATGTTGTAACATATATCAGAACTTCATGCGTGGGGTGCCTGGGTGGTTCAGTCAGTTAAGCCTCGGCCTTTGGCCCAGATCATGATCCCAGGAACCTGGGATCGAGTCCCATTTTGGGCTCCATGCATATCACGGAGCCTGCTTCTCCCTCTCCCTCTGCCCACTGCTCCCCCTGCTTGTGCTCGCTCTCTCCCTGTCAAATAAATAAATAAAATCTTAAAAAAAAAAAAAAAGAACTTCATGCTTATAGGTAAATAACATTTCATTGAATAGATATGCCCCATTTTGTTTATTCATTCATTGGTTGATGGTTGCCTCAGTTTTTGTAGTTGTTTTTGTTTGTTTGTTTTGGGTTTTTTGGTTGCTTTTCTATTTATTTTTTATTTTAATTTTACTTTTTTAAAAGATTTTATTTATTTATTTGAGAGAGAGAGAGAGCATGAGAGTAGAGAGGTCAGCAGGAGAAGCAGACTCCCCGCCGAGCAAGGAGCCTGATGTGGGACTCGATCCCAGGACTCCAGGATCATGACCTGAGCCGAAGGCAGTTGCTTAACCAACTGAGCCACCCAGGCGCCCGCTTTTCTTTTTTAAAACCCGGTTTCTCACATCAGGTTTTTTTCTCTCTAGAATGAGGATGACTTTTGGGTTGACTTTCAGGGCAGCAAAAAGCCGCTGGATGGTGAACGTCAGCCGGCAGTGCTCACATGGGTCCGTTGGGTTATTTGTGCCACCAAGTCCTCCTCTGGACCCTGAAAAGGTCAAAGAGTTACAGCGCTTCATCACTCTTTCCAAGAGACTCCTAGTGATGACCGGGGCAGGAATCTCCACCGAGTCGGGGATCCCAGACTACAGGTCAGAAAAGGTGGGACTCTACGCCCGCACTGACAAGAAACCCATTCAGCACGGGGATTTTCTACGGAGTGCTCCAATCCGCCAGCGGTACTGGGCGAGAAACTTTGTAGGCTGGCCTCGGTTCTCCTCCCTCCAGCCTAACCCTGCACATTGGGCTTTGAGCAATTGGGAGAGACTTGGAAAGCTGTACTGGTTGGTGACCCAAAATGTGGATGCCTTGCACACGAAAGCAGGGAGTCAGCGCCTGACAGAACTCCACGGATGCATGCACAGGTGCAGGAAGTTCCAAATAGTTTGAATGCAGCAATGTGTGCTCCATAAGAGCAGAGACCTTGGCTATCTTGATCGCTGTGGTTTTCATTAGGCTTTGAGAAAAGGATTTGGAGCAAACTGTTTATTTTGGAGTCGATCCCAGCAAACTCACAGAGGAACAAACTCAGTGGGGAAATGAAACAGGGTAGGCAAGAAAAGCCAAGAAAAGGGTAAATTAAGGAATGGGTTGCTGCTTTGGGGAACTGAGCCTCAATCCTTTGAGGAACCCTCTGTCAAGAGCATGCTTCAGAATTGTCTCTCTGAAAGTCAAGGAAGCTGGGGCATTTGTCCATCATGTCCCATCCCTCATTGGTTGAGGGTCAGTTTAGGAGAATTAAGTCCCTAACACTGACTCTTCAACTCTGGAGGAGGCTTCCTTGGCCAGTGAACACCCTAAGAGGGATGCAGGAAGTTGCTTACAGGGGAACTGTGTGCAAGTGGCCTATAGGGTGTCTTGCGGGGACTATGAGCAAAGTGCCAACAGCATAGGCTATAAGCCAGTAGATCTCTGGTGCCTAGACACGTAGAACACAGTACAGCCTGGCATATAGTCAGAACCCAGTAAATACTGATGGAAGGAAGACATGTAGCCCTGGCAATAACTTGAAGCTAATTGGAAACCATTTCCTTATTTTTAAGCCCCAGAGATTTTGCCAATCATAAAATATTTATTGGGCGCCCACAACATGTCGTGTGCTACTTGGTGGTAGGGAGGAGTCAAAGCCAACTTATAAAACATGGTCTACTTTATATATGAGAACTTTGTGATCTTTTTGGGGTGGGGGGAAGGATCCAAAAATAACATGTTTAACAAATAACTCCACACAATTGTTAAATTATGTGGTTCTTTTTTTTTTTTAAGATTTTATTTATTTATTTATTTATTTGTCAGAGAGAGAGAGCGAGAGAGAGAGAGTGAGCGCGCGCCAGCAGGAGAACACAAGCAGGCAGAGCTGCAGGCAGAGGCAGAGAGAGAAGCAGGCTCCCCACCGAGCAAGGAGCCCGATGCGGGACTCGATCCCAGTACCCTGGGATCATGACCTGAGCTGAAGGCAGCGGCTTAACCAACTGAGCCACCCAGGCGTCCCAAATTATGTGGTTCTTGATAGGCATGTTTTGTAAGTTCAGAGAAACAGATTTAGGAAAGCTTGGAGTAACTGGTCATGCTTTTTTTTTTTTTTAAGATTTTATTTATTTATTTGACAGAGATCACAAGTAGGCAGTGAGGCAGGTAGAGGAGGAACCAGGCTCCCCGCTGAGCAGAGAGCCCGATGCGGGACTCGATCCCAGGATCCTGAGATCATGACCTGAGCCGAAGGCAGCGGCTTAACCCACTGAGCCACCCAGGCACCCCAACTGGTCATGCTTTTATGGGAAAGATGGGGCTTAAGCCTAGCTCAGTTCTGACTAGGCAAAAGAAGGGAGAGGGCTTTCTAAATGAAGAGGACTTGCAGAGCCCAGAGGAGTCTGGCTTGGCCTATGTGGAGAGTTACTATGAAATCAGATTGTCTGGGAAGGCTAGACTCAAATCATGGGTGCGTCTGAAAATAGTGCAGTGCAATTTGGGTCTGTCGTGAGAGACCAAAGGGGAATATTAGTGGTTTCTGAGCAAGAAAGCAGTATGATAAAAATAGCATTTGAGGAAAGCCACACAGAATTAGAAAGAGTGACTCAGGGAGGTCAGCCCAAAGGACCTAGACCCAGGTGGTATCAGGGGAATTCGAGAGCTAATGATGGCCATGAGTCCATTAAAACTTTCTTTGCATGATAAAAATTTCAAATGTCCCTAAAAGGAAAGTAGCATAATGAACTCCCATGTACCATCACTCAGATATAAAGATTTTATCATGTCTACTTTACCCTCTCTCTCCTTGTCTCTTAAAATGTTTTAAAACAAATCCAAGACTTCTTGTCATTTCGTAGGGGGCCTTTAGTTGTTTTTTAAAGATTTATTTATTTATTTGAGGGAGTGTGTGTGTGTGCACACAAGTTGGGGGCGGGAGAGGGAGAAAATCTCAAGCAGACTTCCTACTGAGTGTGGAGCCCAACATGGTGCTTGATATCACAACCCTGAGATCATGACCTGAGCCAAAACCAAGAGTCAGATGCTAAACTGACTACGCCATCCTGGCACCCTTTTTTTTTTTTAAAGATTGTATTTTTTTACATAATCTCTGTACCCAAGGTGGGGCTTGAACTCAGAACCCTGAGACCAAGAATCACATGCTCCACCAGCTGAGCCAGCCAGGTGCCCCTCATAGGGGGCCTTTTAAGTAAAATAATCAACATAATCTGAAGGCTGACTAGATAAAAAGGAGCAAAATGAGTAACAAGTTTTTCCAAGGGTTCCCACCCAAGTAACTGGAGAAAGGACAGTTTTGGAGAAGTTGGGGAAGGGTGGGTGAAGACAGAGGTAAACTGGACAGGACAGTCAAGATGACTTGGAGTTTGGGAGAGAGGCCAGGAGTGGAGTCCTGTACGGGGAGAGGATCGTCAGCACAGAGGCATCGTGGCAGTGAAAATGGAGAGTCCCCAGGGTGGAGAAGGTAGAAGAAAACTGGCTGGAAGATTGAGGAGTAGAGAAGAAACCAACTAAACCGCCTTTTGTTTTTTCTTTTAGCAGCTATTTAGGGAATGCCCACTGTCTGTAGGCACCATTCTAGTGGTGGGCATAGCACAGTGGTCAAAGGACTCAAAGTTCTTGCTCTCGTGGAGCTCATGATTAGAGAGGTAAGAGGAGAAAAAGAAGGGGCGCCTGGGTAGCTCAGTGGGTTAAGCCTCTGCCTTTGGCTCGGGTCATGATCTCAGGGTCCTGGGATTGAGCTCTGCATCAGGCTCTGCTCAGCAGGGAGCCTGCTTCCCCCTCTCTCTCTGCCTACTTATGATCTCTCTCTGTCAAATAAATAAATAAAATCTAAAAAAAAAAAAAAAAAAAAGGGAGAAACAGAAGACACTGGGTAAAGACACCAGGGGGAAGAGTGTTTTAAAGAGACTGTGATAGACAGCGACCATCACCCCAGAGGAGGAGAGGGGAGGGAAAAGCATGGGTGTGGGCACTAAGGAAGTCATCTGCAGTTGTGCTAAGGATATAAAAATGAGCCAACAGGGTAAGCAAGGAGTCTAAGTAAGGAAAACAGATGTACACTCCTTGTTCTATGGGTTGGCAGTAGAAGGAAAGTGAGAAATGGTGGTACTTAGAGGTCACGAGAAGGTATTCCTAACATGGAGAAAAGATTCCATGTTGGGAATGGCAAGCGCTGTTGGAGGAGTTAAAAATGGTTGGAGATGAGACATCTTTGGCAGCTTCCTGCCTCCTCGGAACCAACCATTGAGTCAGCTTCTTTGGTTTCAGGGTCCTTTGCTTGGACTGTGGTGAAAAGATTCCCCGCAGAGCGTTGCAGGAGCGTTTTGAAGCCCTGAACCCCACCTGGAGTGCTGAGGCCCATGGCCTGGCTCCTGATGGCGACGTCTTTCTCACGGAGGAGCAGGTGCAGAGCTTTCAGGTCCCGTCCTGCGCTCGATGTGGAGGCCCCCTGAAACCAGACGTCGTTTTCTTCGGGGACACGGTGAACCCTAACAAGGTTGACTTTGTGCGCAGGCGTGTAAAAGAAGCTGACTCCCTCTTGGTGGTGGGATCGTCCTTGCAGGTATCTGCCTTGGGATGGAGACCTCTGGAGAGGCTCCCTATTTGGTTTATTTCTTCCTGCATCGAGAGTTCTCACCTGTGTCTTCTTGTTGTAAGGTGTACTCCGGCTACAGGTTTATCCTCACTGCCCAAGAGAAGAAGCTTCCAATCGCGATACTTAACATTGGGCCCACACGGTCGGACGACTTGGCATGTCTGAAACTGGATTCTCCCTGTGGAGAGTTGCTGCCTTTGATAGACCCACACTGACCAGAGCCTGATGCTCCTGAGCCAGAAACAGATTTCCACTGTAATCCTGCTATTAAAGGTAAATGCTTTCTTAGATAACAGTTTCTAGTTCCCATTCAACTGAGAGTACTAACAAAATAGAGAAAGTTCTAGGCTTTTTTTTTTTTTTAAGATTTTATTTATTTGACAGAAATCACAAGTAGACAGAGAGGCAGACAGAGAGAAAGGAGGAAGCAGGCTTCCCGCTGAGCAGAGAGCCCGATGCGGGGCTCCATCCCAGGACCCTGAGATCATGACCTGAGCTGAAGGCAGAGGCTTTAACCCACTGAGCCACCCAGGCGCCCCGGCTTTTTTTTTTTTTTTTAAGACTTTTTAAAATTTATTTGATGGACAAGAGATCACAAGTAGGCAGAGAGGCAGGCAGAGAGAGAGAGGAAGGGAAGGAAGCAGGCTCCCCGCCGAGCAGAGAGCCCAACACGGGGCTCGATCCCAGAACCCTGGGATCACGACCTGAGCCGAAGGCAGAGGCTTCAACCCACTGAGCCACCCAGGTGCCCCTAGGCTTTTTTTTTTTTTTTAAGATTTTATTTATTCATTTGACAGAGATCACAAGTAGGCAGAGAGGCAGGTAGAGAAGGGGGGGGAAGCAGGCTCCCACTGAGCAGAGAACCTGATCCCAGGACCCTGAGATCATGACCCAAGCTGAAGGCAGAGGCTTAACCCACTGAGCCACCCAGGCACCCCGGAAGTTCTAGACTTCTTAATGTATGGCTATTCTTTTTTTTTTTTTTTAAAGATTTTATTTATTTATTTGACACAGAGAGAGATCACAAGTTGTCAGAGAGGCAGGCAGAGACAGAGGGGGAAGCAGGCTCCCTGCTGAGCAGAGAGCCCGATGCGGGGCTCGATCCCAACACTCTGGGATCATGACCTGAGCTGAAGGCAGAGGCTTTAACCCACTGAGCCAACCAGGCGCCCCTGTATGGCTATTCTTTTTTTTTTTTTTTTTTTTAAAGATTTTATTTATTTATTTGATAGACAGAGATCAGAAGTAGGCAGAGAGGCAGGCAGAGAGAGAGAGAGGAAGGGAAGCAGGCTCGCTGCTGAGCAGAGAGCCCGATGCGGGGCTCGATCCCAGGACCCTGGGATCATGACCTGAGCCGAAGGCAGAGGCTTAACCCACTGAGCCACCCAGGCGCCCCTGTATGGCTATTCTTAATTAAAACAAATTTGTTTTTTATTTTTTATTTCATTTATTTATTATTATAAATTTTTATTTATTTTTAAAAGATTTTTATTTATTTATCTGAGAGAGAGAAGAGAGGGAGTGCCGGCATGTGAGCTGGGAGGAGGGGCTGATGGAGAGGGAGAGGGGCAGAATCTCAAGCAGATTCCCCGCTGAGCACACAGCAGGACTTGGGTCTTGATCTCACAACCCTGAGATAATCTGAGCCAAAAGCAAGAGTGCACCCAATGAACTGAGCCATCCCAGGTGTCCCATTAATTGAAAAAAAAAATTTTTTTTAAAGATTTTATTTATTTATTTGGCAGAAATCACAAGTAGGCAGAGAGGCGGGCAGAGAGAGAGAGGAGGAAGCAGGCTCCCCGCCCAGCAGAGATCCCGATGCAGGGCCCGATCCCAGGACCCTGGGACCATGACCTGAGCCGAAGGCAGAGGCTTTAACCCACTGAGCCACCCAGGCACCCCAAAGATTTATTTACTTATTTTAGAGAGAGAAAAAGTATGAGCCGGGGTGGGGGGCAAAGGGAGAAGGAGAGAGAGAAAAGCAAGACTCTCCACTGAGCGTGGGTGGAGCCCCACTCCCAGTTCAGTCCCTTGACCCTGAGATCCTGACCTGAGCCAAAATCAAGAGTTGGTCACTGAACCAACTGAGCCCCCTGTGCGCCCCTTAATTAAAACTAATTGTTTTAATGTGCGTTAAGCTATAGTGTTTGAAAGACTATGATTTTTTGTTCTGTGTATGTGCTATCTGTCTCTATCTAATCCATCTAATTGCTTAATTAGAGGGAAAGAGAATCTTAAGCAGGCTCCACGCCCAGCTCCAACAGAGGCAGGGCTCAATCTCACAGCTCCGAGATCATGACCTGAGCTGAAATCAAGAGTTGGATGCTTAACTGACTGAGCCACCCAGATAATTTCAAAATCTGCCATTGCTTTCTTTCCCCCATTGTAAAAAGATAACAGCTTTATTGAGACATAATTCACGTACCATAAAGTTCACTCGCTCGAAGTTGTCTTACAGTACACTCACAAAGTTGTACATTACTCCCCACTGTCTAATTCCAGAATATCATCATCCCAAGAAGAAACACTGTACCCATTAGCAGTCACTCCCCATTCCCAACCCCACCACCATTCCCCAGTCCCTGGCAACATCTAATCTATTTCTGCCTGTTCTCGACATTTCATATAATCTGTGGCCTTTTGTGTCTGGCTTCTCCACGTGGCATAATAGTTTGAAGATTCATCCATATTGTAGCATGTACTTCATATCCATTTTAATCTGAGTACAACCACTTAAGCTTTGTTGAGATATAGTTCACAAACCATACAGTTTACTCATTTAATCTGTACACTTCAATAGTTTTTAGTATATTGCTAGAGAATTAAAACCACTTTAAAAAAAAAAGACTTTGGGACGCCTGGGTGGCTCAGTAGGTTAAGAAGCTGCCTTTGGCTTGGGTCATGATCCTGGGGTTCCTCAGATTGAATCCCCTGTTGGGCTTCTTGCTCAGCGAGGAGTCCGCGTCTCTCTCTGCCTGCCACTCCCCCTGCTTGCATGCTCTTGCTCTCTTTCACAAATAAATAAAATCTTTTTTTTTTTTTAAAGATTTTATTTATTTGACAGAGAGAAAGAGAGATCACAAGTAGGCAGAGAGGCAGGCAGAGAGAGGGGGTAAGCAGGCTCCCTGCTGAGCGGAGAGCCCGATGTGGGGCTCTATCCCAGGACCCTGAGATCATGACCTGAGCTGAAGGCAGAGGCTTAACCCACTGAGCCACCCAGGTGCCCCACAAATAAATTAAATCTTTAAAAGGAAAAAGAAGACTTTAATTTTTGGAGTAGTTTTAGGTTCACAGCCAAGTTGAGCAGAAAGTACAGAGAGTCCAGCATGCCCCTTTGCCCTGGGCACTCACACAGTATTTATCATTCACCTACTGACATCTTGGTTGTTTCCAAGTGTTTGGCAATTATGAATTAAGTTGCTGGGCATAAGTTTTCAACTCATTCAGGTAAATACCAAGAAGCAAGATTGCTGAATCGTATGATAAAAGTATGTTTAGTTTTGTATGCAGCTAAAAAACTACCTTCCAAACTGGCTGCCCCATTTTGCGTTCCCACAAATGAATGAGAGTTCCTATATAAGCACTTTACAAAAACGATTGTAACTAAAGTATACTATACATACAGAGAAGAGCATGTATTATAAGTAGACAGCTTGATGAAGACATACAGCATCTAGATCAAGGAACAGAACACTACTGGCCCCAAAGAAGCCCCCTTGGCATACAAACTTTTTAAAGTAGTAGCCTCCAACCCCCAACCCCAATATGGGGCTTGAACCCACAAGCCTGAGATCAAGACCTGAGCCCAGATCAATAGCTGGAAGCTCAACCGACTGAACCACCCAGGCGCCCCAACACACACTTTTTTTTTTTTTAAAGATTTTTACTTTATTTATTTGACAGAGATCACAAGTAGGCAGTGAGGCAGGCAGAGAGAGAGAGGGAAGCAGGGTCCCCGCCGAGCAGAGAGCCCAATGCCGGGCTTGATCCCAGGGCCCTGGGATCATGACCTGAGCCAAAGGCAGAGGCTTTAACCCACTGAGCCACCCAGGCGCCCCCCCCCCTTTTTTAAAGATTTTATTTATTCACTTGAGAGGGCGGGAGAGAGAGCACAAGCAGGCAGAGAGGCAGAGGGAGAGGGAGAAGCAAACTCCCTGCTAAACTGGGAGCCAGATGTCGTGCTCAATCCCAAGACCTGGAGATTGTGACCTGAACTGAAGGCAGATGCTTAGCCATCTGAGCCACCTGGGTGCAGCCCCCCCCGCCAACTGCCGGCTTTTTAATACATTTTTTTAAACTAGGTTCTTCTTCTTTTTTTTTTTTAAAGATTTTATTTATTTATTTATTTATTTATTTATTTATTTATTTGACAGAGACAGAAATCACAAGTAGGCAGAGAGGCAGGCGGGGCTCCCTGCTGAGCAGAGAGCCCGATGCAGGGCTTGATCCGAGGACCCTGGGATCATGACCTGAGTTGAAGGTGGAGGCTTAAGCCACTGAGCCACCCAGGTGCCCCCAAACTAGGTTCTTATACCAGAATACTACATATTTATTGTAGAACATCAAGATGATACAGATAAGGGATGTCTGGGTGGCTCAGTTGATTAAGTGGCTGCCTTTAGCTCGGTTGTGGTCTTAGGGTCCTGGGACTTGAGTTCTGCATCGGGTTCCTTTCTCAGCAGGGAGTCTATTTCTCCCTCTGTCTGCCACTCCCCCTGCTGCACTCTCTCTTTAATAAATAAAATCTTAAAAAAAAATTGACACAATTAAGTAAAAAGAATATAATACAAATTACCCATTATCCCATCACCAAGATAACCAAAGTTTAACATTCTGGTATAACCAAATCTTTTTTTACAAAAATCGGATCAAGGTTTTTCATGTTTTATCATATCCTGTTTTCACTTAACTAGATGTGGTGGCCATCTTTACATGCCCTAGATGCTGTGTTTTTTTGAATGGTAGGCTGATGTTCACAACCATTACCCCTACCCACTCTCGGCTTAATCAGCATTAACTTGTTTCCTTTCTTTTCAGATCCATGGTAAGGATTCCTCCCTTCTTCCTCTACCTAATCAAAGCTCACTGGATGCAGCCTGTAGAGGGCAGCAAACCGACATCTTTCTCCAGCCCCTCTCTGAACTGGACAGGTTTGAGTGTGACCGATGAGATTTGACCCTGAAGAAAGATTTTTTCAAAGCAGTGGCTGCTCTGGGTAGGGAAAACTGCCCTCACTTGCTTTTTATCTCACCAGGCAGAAGAAACAGCTTGGGAAATAATGTAGGCCAGAACAGTCTCTGGAGTGCTAGCTAACCCAGGAATTTCACTAAGGTGAGGGGTGAGGGGAGAAGAAAATGACTTCATTTATAATTACAAATGGTTAAATGTCTCTAACTGAAACATTTTGATATATTTTTTAAGATGAGTAATGGTATGAGTGAATTTTTTATGAACGAAGGAATAAAGGAATCACATTTTTAATAGCACATTGGGTATGTGGGCTGTAGGTTTATATTTTTTTAATCAGCTGAAAGAGAATGGGCTTTATGACACAGTTCTCTGAGGATTTCTGCTGGATTTCAGCTGCCAGAATGAGACATTTGCCTTGAACCTGGTCTGCAGAGAGGAAACATGTGGGCTCTTAAACTGATTTGTTGTTCTGCCAAGTAAGGCAACAAGCCTGTACCAGGCTAAAGCTTTCAGCACAATCTCAAAGTAAAAAAAAATCAAAAAGTAAAGTGGATGAAAGAGTCATAGCCTTTTCTAGCTAGTCTTTTGTCTAAAATTAGGGCAAGGAATACATGTTCATCCTGCACCTGCCTAGGAAGTAAATTTTAGTTAACAGGGATAATCCAGGATCTTGAAACCAACAGAGTTCTTTTCATCTGCACAACTCTATGTTTTCCCATAGCCGCTAATTCTGAGGAGGTGTACGGTTGTTGTAAATCTCATTTCAGCTTTTTTGCAGAGGATCCTAAGGTGCTTTGAATCAGATTTGCTCAGTTACCAAAAGTCAGTACCAGTAATTGTATTCAGATCTGGGTCTTTCAGATCTCAAGCTATTCTCATCCCCAAATTTCATCAGGGGTTACTATATCAGTTACAGATACTATATTAAGGTACTAAGGCGACAAAGATACAATCTCTTGGCTTCAAGTGGCTCACAGAAAATGTGCTATTTCCCCGTCCTTACTCTCTACCACAGAATGTCACAGATTCATGCATGAGATGAGACAGAATGAGAGCAAATTAAATGCATCCCCCTCATTTTATTTTGGGGGAAACTAAGATCCAGACTTACTGAAGGCCATACAACATAGTTTCAGAGCCAGGACTAGAATCCAGGACTTTCCTCCCAGTTCTTTTCTTTTTGAACAACTGCTTCCTGTTTGTCTGAGGCTTATGCTTAGAAAGAAACCTAAATTAGAAGCCAGCAGTACAACTGGCCAAGGAGACCAGGAATGGTTAAGCTGCAGCAGGCCCTGGAGAGCAGGTTAGGTTGCCAGGGAGGGAGGCAGGCTCTACCACCTAATGCTGGCATGATTCATGAAACCAAGTCTTCAGGACCTTAGGAATGTTCATTTTGTTCATAGTTCCTCCTGAGGTGGAATTCCTCCCCCAAAATTTGTCCCAAGACAAACTCTGCAAAGATCTCACATCTCCTCACTTTACATCTTTTGCTTTTTACCAGCATGGCAGTTCCTAACCCACTATAAGTGTCCTCTGTTGGAATAACAAACTGACTAGTGGGTGCTATCAGTTTGTCACTCTCCCGGTTACAGCCTTCTAGCTGCATGTAGCTTTGGGCATGACCTTCCTCAACTGCTTTTATGGCTCTGCTCTGCTATCACAGTTTTAGTAAGTAGAAGTCACAAAGGCAAACAAGTACATAACACTCAAAACCAATTTCCCACTAACTTATATTCCTTCTTTTATACTGTCATAAATTATCTGTCTTTTAGCTCTCCCTTAAATAATAACATTTAATGAGCACACTATATCCCAAACACTATGCAAAGTATTTCACAACACATTATCAGCTCACTCGAGGAGTTAAGCCAGTAAGAAATGCTTGGCCATGTGTAAGGGTCAGTCTTCAGCAAGTGAATGCCAAACTTTTCCTGAGAGGATCCACTAAGGACCAATAGGAAATTCAACACTCCTAGGTAGGGTACTAACTGTCCCAGATTGCCCAGTACTGAGGGGGTTTCCTGGGTTGCAGGACTTTCAGTGCTAAAATCAGGATGAAGTGGTTACCCTGCTCCTAGGAATGGGGTATAAGTTATCGGTTAACTGAAATAGTTAATTCCAGATATATTATCCTTCTTGGGATTCCAGATGGTGCTCAGATCCAGATTTTTTATTTAATCTTTATGTCACTGAACAGATAAATTCCACTTTGTGAAGGGGAGGGGGTAGTTAATCTCGTCCAAGAAAGGAGAGAGAGTGAGTGTGTGTGTGTTTCCTCTATTAGAAAAGGGATATAGCACGAATTGAAACTCTTAGGATATAGACACACCTGGATTTCCATCCCTGTCTTGCTACTTAGTAGTTATGTGAATTTGGGCAAGTGATTAATCTTCAGTCTCTTTGGATGAGGATACCAGTAGCTACCTAACTGGGTTGTTAGGAAGATTAAGAAAGGTAGGGAAAGGGGCGCCTGGGTGGCTCAGTGGGTTAAGCCTCTGCCTTCGGCTCAGGTCATGATCCCAGAGTCCTGGGATCGAGCCCCGCATCGGGCTCTCTGCTCAGCTGGGAGCCTGCTTCCTCCTCTCTCTCTGCCTGCCTTTCTGCCTACTTGTGATCTCTGTCTGTCAAATAAATAAATAAAATCTTTAAAAAAAAAAAAAGAAAGGTAGGGATGCATCTAAACTCCCAGCACAGTGCCTGGAACACAGTAAGCAAATGTCAGCCATAACCACTTGGCTAAAACTCTGTCCTCTACTGAATACTTCAACTAGACTCGCATGGGTCTTTTCCAGAGCTACATTCCTTTTTGTGTATCTGTCGTCTTTTTTTTTTCAGAAGATTACAAAAGCCAAGTCTTACCTGATAGAATAAAGCCTTTCTAAAAAAAATAAAGAGTATCCTTGCCTCTCCTTCCCCTTGGGAAAATAGTTATTTATGGAACATTTACTATAGAACAAGCACTGTAGGAAGCATTTTACAAGGCGTTGGCTCACCTAATTCCCACAACCCTATGATCTGCACACTATTATTTCTTTTGAAAGATGAAGATCCTGAAGCTTGGAGATTTTATGTGACTAGCCCAAGGTCACCTGGGGTGACCCGGCCAGTAACCAAAGCTAGTCCATCCAGTTCGGAACTCCCTTTCTTTAATGATCTATAGAAGCCCGGCGAGGTGACTGCGCAACTGCACTTTGGGAGCGAAAAAGGACAAGACTCAAGAAACTTCTTGAGGTGACCCCAACTAGGTCCTGAGCGATGAACAGGCAAGCACCAGGCGGGAAAAGGGGGAGCATTCCAACCGGAGGTCAGAGCTGCAAATCCCTTCACCTTCTGTTTCCTCTCTTCGAAAATGGGGACTTTAGGTGCAGAAGCCCATGGCTCGCCCAACTTCCATTCGCCTCTCTCCTCGCGCCAGTTTGGCTTCCCGCACCCTAGCTTCCCGGTCGCCTCGTCCCTTTCCGGGATGGGAGCCCTGGAGCAGCTCCCCACCGGAAACCGTTATGGGGCTGGGGACGAAGGGGCGCGTGTGGGGCCGACACACCCACAGGCACGCGCACCGCAGGAAGGTGGACCCCAACGTCATACCTACGTGAGCTCGCTCTTTTCTCACACTCGGCCCGCCCACACTTTCCTTCCCGCGGGATTCTGACCATGGAGAACAGCGCACCGAGGACCCAGGAAGCCGCGCAAGGAGCCGTCGCCGCCACCTCACCCTGACGTGGGCTGGAGCAACCGTTACCAACCACTGCGCCTGCGCCTGCGCCGGCTCGCGCAGACGCGCGAGGGGGCGGGGTCAGAGCCTGGACTGTGCGGAGGTGGGTGGGGGGCTGGGCCGCTTTTCCCAAGTGTAAGGGAAAAAAAAAAGGAGGAACCGGGTACCACGTGTCCAAAAGATACCCAATCACATTTCCTATTCTGAAATCCCTGTGGGCAAGGAAATGCCGGGGTTGGGCTCGGGATCACGTGATCTTAAAAGGTAAATATAGCCACGTGGTTTTTCCTCGACTGCCGCAAACCTTGGCGCCAAGACGTGTCTTCGCTGAACGATTATTTAATGAGCGTGTGAGATGTGCCAAGCACTGTGAAGACGCTGTGGCTGCTGGGATGTAATCGCTACTTAAGAATACTCACAATTTAGTTTATTCATTTAAATCTCTGCCACTGTACTAGGGTTTCCCATATTCCATTTCCTTTAATGAGCACCCGGCAGATGCTCATTGAAAGATTGTTAAAGGGGAGAGGCTGGGTGGCTCAGTCGGTTAAGCATCTGTCTTTGGCGGGGGTCCTGGGATGGAGCCCCATATAGGGCCCTCTGCTCCGCGGGGAGCCTGCTTCTCCCTCTCCTATGCTTGCTCCCCCTGCTTGTGCTTTCTCTTGCTCTCTGTCAGATGAATGAATAAAATCTTACCCCCAAAAATTATTTTTTAAAAAAAGATTTTATTTATTTATTTGACAGAGCGAGATCACAAGTAGGCAGAGAGGCAGGCAGAGAGAGAGAGGAGGAAGCAGGCTCCCTGCCAAGCAGAGAGCCGGATGCAGAACTCGATCCCAGGACCCTGAGATCATGACCTGAGCCAAAGACAGAGGCTTAACCCACTGAGCCACCCAGGCGCCCCAAAAAAAGATTGTTAAAGGGATTTTTTGTCTCTCTCCCCCAGCCCTGGGGATAAGGAAACAGGGGTAGCATATATTACTTCAGAGGATATATTATGTAGTTCAATCTGGCACCGAGTAAATAATCAGCGCTTGTTAATCATTATTCAGGACTCATGGTGTTCATTTCCTAGAAATATCCCCCAACATCAATTTCCAAGGCTAGAAGGAATGATGCTTGTAAAGAACTCGGGAGAGACTTAGAGACACAGATAGAGAATAAAACAGTTTCTAAACGGAGGCCTTTCATCAAAGTGCTTTATTAGAGGACACAGGCTAAGGTGAAGGCAATGAGGCATGTAGGGATGATGATTTCCAGAAGGGATACTCAACTTTTACAGTACTTCTTGGTGTCAAGGTTCTTGTGCTCCTTGTTATATGGAGCCTTTGAAAAGCAGATGGCAGCATTGCGGTCACAGTTGCAGATGAAGGCCTGACAGTCTTTGTTTTTGTCTGGAAAAGAGCAAGACGAAAGGACTGAGCCAAGGCAGATCCTGCTTTGTCCAATGTGGGTCAGGAAGAATTAACGAATAATCTGGTGGCCATTCCATTGATACAAATTTAGGGTTGACAGATTTAGCAAATAAAAATACCTGAATATCAGATAAACAATAAATGTGATGTTTGACATGTAGAATAAAAAAAAACTTCATTGTCCATCTAAAAGTCAAGTTGAATTGGGCAACGTGGGTTTATTTTTTTTAAGATTTTAATGTATTTATTTGACAAACATAGAGACAACGAGAGAGGGAACACAAGCAGGGGGAGTGAGAGAGGGAGAAGCAGGCTTCCCGCTGCGCAAAGTCTGATGCAGGGCTCAGACCTAGGACCCTGGGATCATAACCTGAGCCAAAGGTAGATGCTTAAGGACTGAGCCACCCAGGCGTCCCTGGGCAACATGTGTTTAATCTGGCAATCCCAGGTGTGATGGGTGCCTTTTGGAAAGTTCCGTTATTTAACTTAAAATGAGCTCTTTAAAAAAAAGGGGGGGCGGGGCGCTTGGGTGGCTCAGTCGTTGAGCATCTGCCTTCTGCTCAGGTCATGATCCCAGGGTCCTGGGATGGAGCCCTGCATCGGGCTCCCTGCTCTGCAGGGGGTCTGCTTCTCCCTCTCCCACTCCCTCTGCTGTGCTCCTTCTCTAGCTGTGTCTCTTTCTGTCAAATAAATAAATAAAAATAATTTTTTAAAAGAAAAGATTTTATTTGTCAGAGAGAGCACAAGCAGGGGGAGCGGCAGGCAGAGGGAAAAGTAGGCTCCCAGGGAGCCTGTTGTGGGACTCAATCCCAGGACCCTGGGATCATGACCTGAGCTGAAGGCAGATACCTAACCAACTGAACCACCCTGGCATCCCTTAAAATAAGCTCTTAAAACCCATATAGCTATAGAGCTCTGATAACATAGGCAAGCAATTTATAAGCAATATGAAAAACACTAAAACATATACTCAAGGAACGAAGTATTGTACATTTCACCTTACTGAAGTTTAGCAAGACAATTTCTCTATTTTATAGCACATATTTAAAAAATTATAGAACGTTCTTACAGTAGAATATTATACAGATATTTAAAATAATTAAGTACATCTATATGTAGAAATGTTCCCAAGATATTTTATTAAAGGAAAATGAAAGGTTGGGGCTCCTGGGTGACTCAGTCATTAAGTGTCTGCCTTCAGCTCAGGTCATGATCCTAGGGTCCTGAGATTGAGCCCTGCATCGGGATCCCTACTCAGTGAAAGCGGGACGCCTGGGTGGCTCAGTTGGTTAAGCGGCTGCCTTCGGCTCAGGTCATGATCCCAGCGTCCTACTCAGTGAAAGCCTGCTTCTCCCTCTCCCACTCCCCCTGCTTCTGTCCCCTCTCTCACTGTGTCTCTCTCTGTCAAATAAATAAATAATTTTTTTTAGAAAAACTGTCAATGAGTAACTGTTTATAAATGAATGAATGAATGAATGAATGAAAATGAAAGGCAATATATCCAACTGTTTGTTTTGGGAGATAAGATTATAGGCAACTTCTCCTTTCTATGATATGTTTCTGAAGAGTTTGAAATTACATTACTTTGGCCTTGTTTACTTTTTTAACTAAAAGAAACAACAATAACCTTTAAAATGAATTTCAATTTTGTTAACTATAATTATGTACCTCTGCTTACATTCAATAATTTCTTTTAAAAGAGATTTCATATATTTATTTGACAGAGAGAGCACAAGCACGGGGAGAAGGATGGTGGGATTCCTGATAATTTTTTTCTTGGCCTCCTAGATTTGAATTGTGGTTATCCCAACGTTGTATGTACAGTTTTGGGAAAAGTGGGACCTGTCTCTGGGTGCATAGTAGAGAGTAGTGCAAACCAGAATGCTGACCTAGCATGACAATACCCTTCACCTCTATTCTTCACAGCCGCCTCCCCGGAGGGACGTACTTCATCAGGAGCTCTGCACAACTTAGTGGTTAAGACCAGACCCTTTGATATAGAAACAACTGAGTTCAAATGCCAGTCTTACCACTTAGAAGCTGTGTGATTTGGGGCAAGTGGCTATTTTGAGTCTCAGCTTCCTCACCTGTAAAATGGGGTCATTAAAACCTATCTCATCTATACCTGGTATGTAATAAGGAACTCATAAATGGTAGTTCTGAGCTCTTTTTATGAAACAACGAAGCTGAATAGCATGGCAGTTAAGAGCAGAGACTCTGGAGTCATATAGACCTATATTCAAAACCAAACCACCATTTATGAGCTGTGTGCCCATTGGCAACTGGCTCAGCTTTCTGAGCCTCAGTTTTGTCACCTGTAAAATGGGTATAATAATAATACTGATCGCCTAGGGTGTTGCCAGGATTCAAAGAGCACCTTGAATTCAAGGAGCACCTGGCACCAACGAAGTGATTGATAAATGGTGGCTCTCATTACTATTATTTCCTCCCCTATCTACTGAGGGGAGACAAGCCAACAAAAGATTCAACCTACCGCTGCAGGTGATCTCAGAGCCAGAGCACGAGTACGAGTAGATTTTGGTGTAGGGGTTGTCCAGGAGGAATTTACAGCTGTCCAGTTTCTTGGCTTCTGAGTAGCAGTGGTCGTGGATCTGGCAACACCTGGAGAGGGGGATGGACAGAGCTGAGGCAGGTGCAGGGAAGCAGGTCAGCCTCAGGAAAATGGAGGGATGATTAAGCTGACACGCTCCAGAAGATATTGGTCCTGTGGCTTGAAAAAACTTAAGTTCTTTGATCATGTTTATTGAAGGCGATTTAAAAATGGTCGCAGGTTTATAATACAATCATATATTCTGAAGATGAGGTGAGAGTCTTAACCATTGCTGGAAGAGGACAATTGAATCGTCGCTGTGGTGTCTTGTATTATGATATTCTGCCACTAGAGGGCAGACGCACCCGCTCCTACTTTACATCTCCACTCTGGCTTTTCCTCCCGATAGAGTTGGATTCAGAGTCCTCTTGGAGTATGTTTGTTTATACGGCAAGAGGGGAAAATATGTTATCTTTAGCAAATATGCAAACCCCTTTTCTGTGCCTCCTCGTGAGATCTTTGGCTTGTGCCCTCCTCCCACCCCACGGGCACCCCGCTCTTCCTGCTGATCGATCACTCACTTGTCCAGCTCATCCACAGGGGTGCCAGATCCACCCAGGCCACAGTAGCAGCCGTAGTCGCTGTAATCCTTCAAAGGGTCACTCCCAGGGATCGTGCACTTGATCATGTTGCGGAACTGCCACAGCGCCCGCGGGCTGATGCCCCCATCCGCCGCGGCCACTGCAAGAAGACACGTCCAGAGTTTAAATACGTCCCGATCAGCTCTGCCAGCTCCCAGGGGCCCTGCTCACTGCCTGCCGGCTTTCTGGCCCCCCACCCCGGACCACACCAGATGCCTCCTCTGGAGAGAGCTGGATGCCGGAACCTGGTAATAGGAGTAGAGATTTTTTTCTTTCTGTAAAACTTCAAAAAAAAAATTGTTATTGAGATAAAATTCACATAACATAAAAGTTACCATTTAACCTCTTAAAATGTACGTTTCGGTGATTTTTAGTATATTCACAGGGTTGTGGAACCATCACCACTAATTCCAGAACATTTTCATCACCCCCAAAGGAACACCCTGTACCCATTAGCAATTATTCCCCCTCTCCCCTCTGGTAACCATTAAATTGCATTCTGTCTCTATGGATTTGCCTATTCTGAACACTTCACGTAAATGGAATCGTACAACATGTGGCCTTTTATGATTGGCTTCTTTCCCTTAGCAAAATATCTTTGAAGTTCATCCACATTATACTATATAACAATACTTTGTTCCTTTTTATAACTGAATAGTATTCCACTGTATATATAGACCACATTCTGTTTATCCATTCATCACATGATGGACATCTGGGCTTATCCGTTTTGGCTCTGATGCATAGTGCTGCTATTAACAGTTACATCTTAGTTTTTGCATGAACATATGTTTCCAGTGGAGTTCCCTTTATTTATCCAACAAATGTTTATTGAGCACCTACTACGGACCCAGTCACTGCCCTAGGAACCGGAGATACAATTTTAATTCCCCAGGGCCTGGGGCAAATAGAAAATCTATTTGAGCTTACATCCTAGTGGACGAGGAAAACAATAAGCAATAAATGAAATAAAGAAGGAAACCGGATATTGTGTTAGAGGGTGGAAAAATTGGAACATGGTAAAGGGAATCTAAAATGGGTTAGGTGGGGAATGGCGGGGTTGAGATGGGGCAAGAGTATAAGGGATAGTCAGGAGACCTGGGTGGTCTACCATTCTCAACAGGACAAGCTCCTTTCTGCCTCAAGGCCCGTGTACCCGTTGTTTCTTCTGCTTGGCACACTTGTCATCTCACTTTTCAAAAAACCTGGAGGATCTTGGTTTAATTGCCACTTGCTCTGGGCGCCTGGGTGGTGAAGTTGGTTAAGAGCCCGACCCTTGGTTTTGGCTCAGGTCCTCATCTCAGGGTCATGGGGTCGAGCCCTGCATCAGGCATCACACTTGTGGAGTCTGTTTGGGATTCTCTCTCCCTCTCCTTCTGCCTCTCCCCTTACGTGCTCACTCCCTCTTTCTCAAATTTATAAATGAATCTTTAAAAAAAAATGCCACCTCCTTTTTCTTGATGACCCAAGCTGAGTGGCTCCTTTGCTATCACTTTTCTTTATGTTCATTGTCTCCTCGTACCTCTAGCAGTCTGTATCTGTTTATTTAATGCCTCCCACTCACTAGAGCATAAATTCAAGGACCGGCCTCAGGGCAATTTTAATTCCCCAGGGCCTGACGCTTAGTAAGCACTCCGTAAGTATATGATGAGCTATGCGAATGAAATAATCAACACACCAATTAAAGAAACTACATGGCATATAGTAGGTGCTCAATAAATATCTAATAAATAAGGTGGGTTTTTTTTTTTTTTTAAGTTTCCTTGTAGCACAAAGTTTGACACAGAAGACACAGGCAGCAGGACCCCTTCACCTCATTTTCAGAGCCATACCCTGTGAGATATGGTGCCCTAAAGAGAAGAGGACACTATATGATTTGGGGGTCCCATTCCATCAGCCACCAGTATTATCTCCTTGCCCAGCGTCATGCCCTTTCTTCCCTTGATCTGCTGTGCGCACTGGAGCTGCTCCGTATGTTTAAACCCCGGGGCAGGGGCGCCTAGTTGGCTCAGTTATTTAAGCATCCAACTCTTGGTTTTGGCTCAGTTCATGATCTCAGGGTTTGTAGGATTGGGCCCCATGCCAGGCTCACGGTCAGGGTGGAGTCTGCTTAGGCTTCTTTCTCCCTTCACAGCTCCCTGTGGTCAACTAAATGAATAAATCTTAAAAAAAAAAAAAATTAAACCTCAGGGCAAAGGAAGGGTGACAGCTGCTCACTCTCCCCTATGAGCAGCCTCCACACCGACAGCAGACAGGAGTGGCCCGGCCACCTTGGCCCATCTCCAGACCTCCCTCCTGCCTCCCTGTTTCCTCTGTCTCTGATCCAGCCAGCTCAGCTCTTTGCACAAAGCACTTCTCACGTGCGCGCCTGTGTATGCGTGCGTGTCTGCGTGTGTCTGTTCCCTCGACAGGGAGCATGGCTTGTTCATCTATGAGTCCTCAGTCCCAGCCCAGAGCCTGATACCTTGGAGCCTCTGGGATATCGGTGTGGAATGCATGAAAGACTGATGGATGAATGAAGTGAGATCTGAATCCCAATGTGTCTGATTCCATTCATTCATTCATTCATTCATTCATTCAATAAATGGCGCAAACAGCTCTATGCCTGCTCTCCTGGAGCGCATGCTTCTGTGGGGGTGGAGAATAAAAAGGAAATGAAGTGGGACACCTAGCTAGCTCAGTTGGTAGAACATGCAGCTCTTGATCTCAGGGTCTTGAGTTCAAACCCCATGTTAGGGATAGAGTTTACTTAAAAATAATTAATTAGTTAACTAATTAACTAAAGCTTTGAAAAGGGAAATGAATCAACAAAAACCAAGATACAAATTGCAGGCAAAGGTAGGTGCTGGGAAGATTCCATACCAGGGCTGTATGGTAGAGAGAGAGGAGAGAGGTCTCTCTTTGCTCAGGTGGGCAGATAGGCCCTTCTGAGAGCAATCTGAGTTCAGACCTAAAGGTTGAAAAGCTGGAGCTGTGGGGGGATTTAAGGGAAGCCAGCACGGGTGCTGTTAAGCCTGATAGAGAGCCCTGAGTAAAGGCTCCAGGTCCAGCCAGCCCTGTGAGCTGGGGCCCCCATTCCTGAAGAGTGAGATCTTAGCACTGAAGAGGTGGGACTGGGGAGACTTGCTTACCTGTGAGCAGAGTAGCCAGTATGAGGAATTTCATTTTGTTGTCAAGCTGCTGAGCAAGGGAAAGGACTAAAGTCACCTATGGCCTCCCTCTTTATACCCACACTATGTCCCCAAGATAAGGCTGTAGTGTTTGCTTTGCTTTGAACCTGCTCTGAGTTGGCCTTGACTCTGTCTGTTACAGGAATAACCTTTACCAACAAGCAAACCCTGTCAGCAAGGGATCCTTGGAAGTAGTGTATGTATTTTCATTAGCACCTTTTTTTTTTTTTTTTTTCATTAGCACCTTTTAATGGAAGGGATTATTTCTGGAGTTTGGGAACCTCAACCCTCACCCCACCTCCTTTGCACTCAACCTAATTCTACCATTGCCTCCCCATCTTCTCATGGGCCTGGGTCTCCATGGTGGGTCTCAGTGAATAGTTCCTACCAGTCATGCATCTCACAGATGAGTGAACGAGTTCAGAGAGGTGAGGTAACTTGCCTGAGGTCACACAGCCAGCAAATGGCAGAGCAGGGGCTCAAACTTAGGCATGCCTGATTCTAAGGCACATGTTTTATTTTTCCCCACTCTGTTAATACCATCTCCTCTCCCATTCCCCAGCATGGGTTTGTAAGGAAACCCTGGGCTTTGGAGTTCCAAAGGCTTGGATCTGACTCATAGAATTAAAAAAAAAAAAAAAGTGGGGGGTCTTCTCAAATGTTTGTACAGCATTTTTTTAGGAGAGATTCACATAGCATAAAATTAACCATTTCTTTTTTTGAAGATTTTATTTATTTATTTGACAGACAGAGATCACAAGTAGGCAGAGCAGCAGGCAGAGAGAGAGGGGGAAGCAGGATCCCCGACAAGCAGAGAGCCTGATGCAGGGCTCAATCCCAGGACCCTGAGATCATGACCCGAGCCGAAGGCAGAGGCTTTAACCCACTGAGCCACCCAGGCGCCCCTAGCCATTTCATTTTTAAAGCAAACAATTCAGGGGCAGCTGGCTGCCTCAGTTGAAAGAGCATATGCTCCTTGTAATCAGGGTTGTGAACTCAAGCAACATGTTAGGTATAGAGATTACTTAAGAAAGAAAGAAAGAAAGAAAGAAAGAAAGAAAGAAAGAAAGAAAGAAAGAAAGAAATTAAAAAAAAAAAAAAAAGGTAAAGCGAACAACTGAAGGGCATTTATTACATTCACTGCTATGCAACCACCATCTCCAGTTCCAGAATGTTTTCACCCCCCACCCCCTGCAAAGGCAACCCCCTTCCCATTAGCAGTCATTTGCCCCAGCCTCTGGCAACGGCTAATCTGCCTTCCCTCTCTATAGATCGACCTGTTCTGGACATTTCCCGTAGTATGTTCTACTTTGTAATTGGTGCTCTCCTATTGACTACTGACGTGGTCTCTGCAACAGCCCTGAGTTGGGAGGCCCTCTTGTTTTTTAAATTATTTTAAAATATTTTATTTATTTATTTGAGAGAGACAAAGAGAGGGAGTGTGCATGAGTGGGGGAGGGGCAAAGGGAGAAGCAGGATCCCTTGCTGAGCAAGGAGCCAGACAACAGGAGGTTTGATCCTCGGACCAAGAGATCATGACCTGACCCAAAGGCAGATGCTTAACGGACTGAGCCCCCGGGAGCCCCCTAGATTCACTTAGTGTTGATGACCTTGACTGTTGTGAGGATTGCAGCCAGCTACATCATTGGATGCCCCTCTGTTAGAGTTTGTAATCATGATGTTTATCTCATGATTACAGTAGGGGTTGGTTAAAGGTTTGGGGGAGGAAGAGCACAGAGGTAAAGTGCCATTTTCCTCACACTGCCATGTTTTGTTTAATCGCCTCTTGTCCTGGGTGGCATCTTTTTTTTTTTTTTAAAGATTTTATTTATTTATTTGAGAGAGAGACAGTGAGAGAGAGCATGAGCGAGGAGAAGGTCAGAGAGAGAAGCAGACTCCCCCTGGAGCTGGGAGCCCGATGCTGGACTCGATCCCGGGACTCCAGGATCATGACCTGAGCCGAAGGCAGTCGTCCAACCAACTGAGCCACCCAGGCGTCCCCCTGGGTGGCATCTTGGCCACCTTCCGGGTGAGGACACGGAGGCTCAGCCTGAGGTAGAGCTGGACGTGGCCACACCCGGACATGAACCCACACCTCCCTCTTCCCGCTGAATGCCTTCCCTCCAGCCTGGCATGGTTGTGCTGTGTCTGAGTCAGTACCGCGTCCAGGGGTCTAACCCTAACTCTGCAGCCTCTGCCCAAGCCCTCCGGGATTGCAGCTCTCTCCACTTTTCCCTTGGGCACGCACCCAGGCCAAAAAAGAAGAAATCCATCTGGAAGGGCTCCCCATGTGTTGTCCCGAACCAGGAGCCCCAGGAAAATTTCTTCAGCTAATGAGTAACACTAAAGCAGCATTTAGTAGGTAGGTGGGGAAACTGAGGCCGAGAGGGCAAGTGACTTATTTGCTTGGCCCTGGCTCTGCCTCCATTCAGTTTGGGATCATTTCAAGTTCCTCCCACTCTTCATCTGCATCTGAGGTTTCTACGTCTGTCCAGTATGGTAGCCATTAGCCACATGTGGCTACCTAAATCCATTACAATTCAGGAATGTTAAAAATTAGTTTCTCAAGTGTTCAGTAGCTACATGTGGCCAGTGGCCGCTGTGACACACAGATACAGAATATTTCCATCGTCACGGAGGGTTCCGTCGTCACAATGCTGCTCAGGATGACAGAGACTGTCTCAGTGCCCACCAAGAGGTGTGGAGGTGGTGCTGGGAGAGCCTTTCCAGCTAACCTGGAAAGGTTAGCTCGGGACCCCACATCGGCCTGACAAATGGGTCTGCCCCTTTAGTCTCCAGAATGGTGAGGGCTGCCCAAGGAAAGGGAAGGCTTGGCCAGCAAAATGCTAACTAAGTCCCTCTTGTGTGGGTTCTCTGGGGACAGAATGAAGCAGAGGAAGAAGCACTGTTTCTTTCTTTTTTTTTTTTTTTAAAGATTTATTTATTTATTTATTTGACAGACGGAGAGATCACAAATAGGCAGAGAAGCAGGCAGAGAGAGAGGAGGAAGCAGGCTCCCCGCGGAGCAGAGAGCCTGATGCAGGGCTCGATCCCAGGACCCTGGGATCATGACCCGAGCCGAAGGCAGAGGCTTAACCCACTGAGCCACCCAGGCGCCCCAGAACCACTGTTTCTATGGGGTCTGAGGAAGGAGGAGAAATCGGTGCTATGAAATCCTCTAAGGCTAATAGTGTTAGCATCTATTTCCTGAGCACTAACTCTATTCCAGGTCTCATGCTAAGAAGCTGGCATAAACCTCTGAGGTGGGTCCAATTACAAAACTCCATTTTGCAGAGAAGACTAAGACAATTGAGGCTCAGAGAGGTTAAGGGACTGCCCCAGTGTCACACAGCAGGACCAAGATGTGAGCTCCATCTGGTGCTTATGATACCATAATGTCACCTCCTGACAGGGAATCGTAGTAGTGGGTGGGAGTGCTGGAGGCCTCCTGACAGGGAATCGTAGTAGTGGGTGGGAGTGCTGGAGGCCAGAAAGAGGGTTAGCACTGCCTGCATCCCTCCTTTTCTCCTCCTCCCTCCACCAGCTGGAGGCCTTCCACAAAGGCAGGCTGAACACATTCCCATGTGCATTTCATGCTGGGGCTTAGGCAAAGCTACTGTTGGGGAAGGGGTCAGGCTGCTACCAGACCCTTCTCCCCCCTGGAAAAAGACGTGCAAAATGTGACAATCCAAACCTCTGCAGGGGACAGAGAGGTGGCAGAGGAATGGACCTTGCAAGTACCCAGTATCCTGCCAGGCCCCTACACTCTTTGTACCGTGACCTCAGGTTGCCCCAGACTCACGCACAGCTGTGTCTCACACAGCTTCTCCCAGCCTGGGAAAAACACACTCTCCAGTGGGAAGAACAGCTAAGGATAACTTCTGGCTCCTTCAGGTGACGGCGTACCCACACTCCAGCAAGGTCGCCCCTGCCCCACCCCCGAAGGACAAGGCTCTTGCCTTCAGGAAATGTTTAAAAGCAGCAATGGGCATACCACGTGCTGAGCACTTCTGTTTGCTTGGTCCTGGGCTGAGAGCTTCACATACATGGCTTTCCGGCCTAGCAACAATCTTTGTACCTAGTTATGCTTGTTGTTACCATCTTCCCTTTTCTACAGTTGGTGACACAGGTTCAGAGAGCTTAAGTCACGGGCTCAAAGTCATACAGCTAGAAAATGATAGGGCTGGGATTCAAACCTATGCTTACCTGCCTGTGAGCCCACAGCCTCCTTCAACACCACCACCACCAACAAACAACACAGCAACAACGGCAAACGCTGCTTGAATGCTGGACTGGGAAAGATACTAAGAGCTTTATTTACACAGGGGATCCTATGACCAATGCCAAGTACAGATGAGCACCTTGAAGCCGTGTACCAAAATAGCCAAACCTTTTTTCCCCTGCACCCAAACCATCCAGCAAAGGAGTTCTTCATGTATTCGGACAGTAACTGCTTATCAGATCATTTGCAAATATCTTCTCCCATTCCTTAGGTCACTTTTCACTTTGTTGAGTCCTTTTTTTTTTTTTTAATTTTTAATTTCATCATTTGAGAGGGGGAGAGAGAGAGCACAAGCCGTGGTTGGGGGTGGAGGGGCTGAGGGAGAAGCAGACCCTCCAGAGTGCAGGGAGCCCAACGTGGGTCTCGATTCCAGGACGCTGGGATCATGACCTGAGCTGAACGCAGATGCTTAACCGACTGAGCCACCTAGGCGCCCCTATTGTATCCTTTATTTACTTTTTTAAAAAAGATTTTATTTATTTATATTTCAGACAGAGATCACAAGTAGGCAGAGGGAGAAGCAGGCTCCTTGCTGAGCAGAGAGCCCTCCCTGATGCAGGGCTCGATCCTAGGACCCTGGGATCCTAGAACCCTGGGATCCTAGGACTCTGGGATCATGACCCTAGCCAAAGGCAGAGGCTTTAACCCACTGAGCCCCCCAGGTGCCCCCTGTTGTGTCCTTTAAAGCACAAACATTTTTGAGTTTGATATAGTCCTAGTTATTTTTGCTTTTGTTGTCTGTGCTTTTGGGGTTATATGTAAGAAATCGTTACCAACTGCAATGCCATGAAGCTTTACCTCTATGCTTTCTTCTAGGAGTTTTGTAGTTTTAGTTCTCACATTTAG